AGGGGAGTGGAGTGGACTAGCTAGGATTTGGTACAGCGTGCGTATGGGAACAAATATATATAGGGTCGGCGTGGGCTAGCGTGGGCCGGCTCAAACGTGGCAGACGCGCCCGGTCACGCCCAAGCCACCCCATATCCGCCCCAGATTCGGGCAGAATATGAGGTGTGCCGGTAAGTCTGGACGTTTGGGACCAGTTTGAGGCGTCCGTTTATGTCGCTTTTTTGACCGATCACTGACCGGGCCGTCCGCCCAGGCATTTGAGGGTTTGAGACGCCCGTTGCAGATGCCATAAGTTCAATAAAAATTTGAGATTGTCCTCTAATATAATTTGAATCTAATACATCATGTAATTAAGAAAGTACATCAGGATGTACTCCCAATCGCATGTGTAATGGTTACACAAACGAAACAGATAATGGTAATCAGTCCGCCAATCACCTTAGACTACTCATAATACGGAGTATCATATAATAATATCATGCATATGATACTAGTGTATGATACTATCTTCATAATGTATAGTATTATAAATTATATTATTTATTACTATGCATGACACAAAGTAGCATAACATTTAATATGATACGGTATCTATCTATGTTATTCTAACCCTTTCTTTCTTTTTTAATTCTCTGCCACATCAGCGTGTTTGCTATTTCCAAATACATGATACTAGCTAAAATAACTATTGGCAGCCTTAGTGTGGGGGGTTATATTTGGTGCGGCCACTCGGCTAGTATGCAAGATTGACGTTGGGCGCTTCTGTATGAAGTTTCAAGTACGGTTTAATAATGATGGATTTGAGTGGGTTTAATGGCCGTTTACCGTGCAACACAACCTAAACTCATGAAATAAATTTTATTTATTTGGTACTGTAGATTTTTTTTTAAATGGAAGAAGACCCCCGGCCTCTGCATCTGGACGATGCATGCAACTACTTTATTAATTATTCACACAAAATCTTACAAAGTCATACAAAAGTAAGACTAAAGCCACCGTCTAGGCAACATCTGTCGCTACTCCTATCTAGTTGATGATGGGATGCTGATAGTCTAGACCTAATACCACAGACCTTGCAGCCAAACATAACATCTAAGACCTGAGGTCCCAACTAGGACGCCTGCCTGGTATGGGGCACCCACCAGTCCGGCGCACTCCTCAACCTAGACGCCTGCCGGGTATGAGGCCGCCGCAGCAACCTGCCACAAATCCATGTTTAGTGTTGTACTGCTACATGTACCTTGCCCGGTCTAGCTGCCGTCGATGCCACCACGACGCCAGACAACGCCACCATCCCGCGCTCGTCCATCATCACACGCCCACCGGCGAGACCCCGCTGCTCCATGTCGCTGAGACCCGCCATTGTCAACGTGTCAGATACCATGCCGCTCCTCCTCTTGTCCCCTCCAGCCAACACTTGCTCCAAAACGATGCCCCCAGGAGGGAGAACGACATCGAAACGTCGCCATCGTCCGATCCGGTAGACCCAGATCTTGGGTTTCCCCCGAAACCTTCCGATCAGGTTGATGTGACCTGCAACAACGATGCCTTGAGAAGGGAACGATGTCCGAAACGCCGTCATCGTCCCTCATGACCGCAGTCGGGCGTGATTTTCACTGGAAGCCACGTCTTCCCGATCTCGCGGTTGGCTGGAACCGAACGGAGTCGCGCCACGAAGAAGAACGCCGATGTCGGTTAACCGGCGGAGATCCGACATCTCCTCACCGGTCCCTCCACGCGCCGCCGGTCGGCTGAAGGCCACCCCGTGGCGGATCCGATCGGGGTTGGATCCGCAGTCGCCGCCGCCACCATCTCCGCGCAGATCAGGCACCCGTCGGATGGGGCGCTGCCACCGCCGCCGTCCATCACAGGGCCTCCACTCTGCCGGCTTATCGCGCTTCGGCCACCGCCGCACGACAAGGGATCGCCGTCCCAGCCGCCGCCTTCGGATCCCATGAGAAGGGCCACCCCTGCCGCCTCCAACGAGATCTCGCCGCGTCCACCCGCCCAGGTGCCGTCGGCGCCGAGCCCGCCGCCACAGCGGCCCTCGCCGGCGGCAATGGCGGCAGAGGGAGGCGCGAGAGGAGGCCTACGGCGCTAGGGTTCGGGGGCCCCTGGCGTCGCCTAGGGGGAGGCCACGCGAGGGGGAGATTTATATTGATATCTTTTCTATAACGTGTTCTAACATAAAAATGTTTGAATTTAAAATAAATAAATAATACTAATCGTAATTTCAAATGGAGGAGGTCCAGTGCTAATCATAGAAATGCACTGTGCACTGCTCCAATTTACTGTCTACAGCGTAAGACAGAGAAATGCACTGTATACTCTGACAGGATGATTGGTAGACTGCATTTACGTCCGCCATCTTTGTATAGGGCCTCTCTGTAAACTTGGCCACAGTGAAAATTAATAATCCTATTAATTTCTACATGTCGGCAAGAATGAGAGACTGCTTGATGCCACCACAAGAATCACGAGGAAGAGAAAAGATCTGGTATGTATGTTTGTTGGATGATATTCAGTGAACCTACTAGCTAGTGTTCAGTCACATGTCTGTACTAGCTAAAAAGAAGGTGCGGTTTTCCTTGTGAGCTGTGAAGATGAAGCACATGAGCCATGAGGCGTACCTAGTTAGTAGATAAGGGTGTGTTCGGTTGCCCGCAGCGATTTAGCCATCACTGCATGTGTCTCAGTTGGGACTAATTGAGAAAAAATAGACAAAAAAAACCATTACTGCACATCGTTTGATTGCCTGCATGGAGACTGCCTGCATTAGAGGAGCAATTTTGGCATGGTGTTTGGTGCCCTGCATTGTTGTGCTGATGCAACTACATGGTGTTTGGTTGCATACACATGATATGATTAAGAGTTAACAGTTACACATAACACATAGAGTTATACTAGAGTGCCTTGGCGACTGCGGTGGATGGTAGCCGCGGCGCCGTCTTCG